TGTCTGAGAGGCCCGAGCAGCCACGCTGTCAGAGGGGTTTCTCTTCTCCTCAGGCCTCCGGGGTGGAGTTGCGGTCTGTGACGCCATCCGCTACAGCACACCCTACACCCCAGGGTCCAACTGAGCTTACTATGGCCCAAAGGGGCCATGGATCAGAGGGCGAACCCGCTGACCTAGTTTGACCAGAGAGGAGCTGAAGCCGCCAGTATCAACTTGTACAGAACATCCCCTGGGACGATGCCACGCAACACGTAGAAAGCTAACACAGCCACGCGGGACTAATGGGGAAGCTTGGGTGCAGAAGACAACCTTTCTGTTTCTGAGTCGCTGTTAGAAACGGTTCTTTGTGCTCATCCTGGTCCCGGGTCAACATGGAAGAGGCAGAAGACTCTCAATTGAGCTACTACCTAGCCAGCAAAGGCTTACAAGTTGCTATGTGGCTGAGAGGAACCGTCCAGACAAAGACAAACCAGATGGAAAGGCCTAAATTAACCAATAAGAACACTATAGAATCCAGTGGTCCGCTCTCCAAATGATTATGGGATGGTGCTGGACCAGAAAGCATGTCTCGTTGTACACAGGGCCAACTGAATGGTAGGCCACAACATTCTCCACTACTGAAGGAGGACCACGAAAGTTGTGTTCATGAGGAACCTGTGCATGGATCAAGAGGCAGTCCGTCAAAGAGAGCACGGTAATACCGAGTGATTTAAATTTAGGAAAGGTGCATCCTCACCACACTTGTTCAATCTGCATGCTGAGATGATAATCTGGGAAGCTAGTCTATATGAAGGAGATCGTGACAGCAGAAATGGAGGGAGACTCCTTAACAACCTGCAATATGCAGATGACACAACCTTGCTTGCTCAATGGGAGGACTTGAAGCACTTGCCGATGAAAATCACAGACTACAGAATTCAGTGTGGATTGCAACTCAGTGCCAAGAAAGCCAACATCCTCACAACTGGACCAATAGCTATCATCATGACCACTGGAGAATTTCCTTGGAAGTAGCAGTCAAGATATCAAACGACTTATTGCTTTGAGCAAATCTGCTGCACAAGAACTCTATTTAAAGTGCTAAAGAGCAAGGATGTCACTTTGAGGAGTAAGCGGAACTCAACCCAAGCCATGGTGTTTTCAATCACCTCAGACGTATGTGGAAGTTGGACAATGAAAAACAAAGGAAGCTATAAGAAGAACTGATGCCGGGAGGGTGGGGTAAAAAGGGGGAAC